ACTATACCTGGCACTAGTCATGAGGAGCTATTCCAGAATAACTTGATATGTGGACACCTGGAGCAGCAACTACATTGCTGCTCAAACGTATGAACAGGGCTCACACAGACATGCATAAATAGGCTTTCAACTAGTCAGCTCCAGTATCGATAATGACTTTGCAACTGGCAGTATGGTATTTATGTTGGGCTGCAAGCCCTGCCGAAAACACAGGAGAAACACTTGAACAAGTAATTGAAGCCAAGGTTTTTGCTCATAAAGCGTCACTGGTATTCAAAGCCAGCTCAGATAGAAGCATGGATAGTTTAGACATGGGCGTACCCTTACTTTGCACAAAGAGTCCTTGATCCTGTTTAGTTTAGCTTCCTTTGCTCCAGACTAGGAAATCCATGCTGAGAATTATTTCAGAAGAGATGTTCTTGAATAACACAGCGGTTAGCCATGGTCCGTGTGTCTAGCAATGCCTTTGCAATGTCAGGGCATGGGCATTTAACCTCTCTGCTCTTGCGTGGTGTGAGCTGGATGCACAAAGCTGTTACAGCCTGCTGGAGGAGGGAGCCACAGGTGGGCTCAAGTGAGATGAAGCAGTAAATGTTCTCCTTCAGACAGGAAAGTCTCAACTCAGCGTTTACATACTTCTTTCCTCCAAAACTCACAGTGTAAGGGTGAGGAGGGGAGCAGCTGGTTTTGAGAACATGAAGGCTCAAGTATTACCAGGTTTACCACATCTTTAGAAGCTGATCCAAAACCCATCAAGGTCAGTGGAAAACCTCCAATGATTTGAAGAGTCTCTGGATCAGGCCTTTAAACCCAGCTCCGGCAGTTTGGCATGCCGTCCTTTGTGCAGCTGCCTAATCCTTGACCCAGTCCTGTACTCTCAGGAAGCCAGTGCAGAGCAGAGTGCTAGCAGGCTGTGGGGACCACCCTCCAAAATGGCAGAGGGCCTCTTTTCACCTTGTCTTATGCATGCATAATAGCTTGAGCACAGCTGTGTCTGCAGACTTACATTTCCTGAGAAGCTTTGTCTTCTTTGCAGCTGGATACCTGAAGCACCTTGAGCTGTGGAGGGACTTGCAGAGCTTTAGAGGCTCTGAATGAGATGTCTGGCAATGGATGGTGTTGGAAACTATTAAACTTTTGTTCGTTGGTCCTCATGTGGAGGAAGTGAGAGCATGGATCTTTAACCCCCTGGAAATGATTAGAGATGAGAAGCACAAAGGAGGCCTTGATGAATATTTTGCCCCTAAGCCATGTGGTTCCTAGCTTTCCAGCTCCTGCTGCTGACATGCAAAGCCAGGCCCTTGGTTTTTAATTTTTCATACTGTTTTTAAACAGATACTTTTGCAAATGTAAACATGCCCCAGCACTGAAGGTTTCCAGCCAAATTAAAGAGTCAGCACTGGAAAAATCAGCCTTCTGAGAAAGGTCAAATACAAGCAAACTCTGGAGTTCATTGGGTCCATATGTGTAAACTTCAGCTAATATGGGATAGACCCAGGGAAGCACTTACCTTGCAGCACTGGGCCAGTTTCAGAATGAAAGGCTGGAACTGTCCTTAGGGATGCCTGAGGTCTGAGCAGTAGATTTGAATGTGTCAAATGAAAAAAGACCCATTCCCTGACTCTTGGTTGCATTTCCATTCCACTTATCCCTTCCCTCTTAACAGGAAGAAAGAAGGTTGGGAAGGAAAATGTGCCATTTGGCATTAATTCTGACAACTCACATTTAGACATTCTTATCTGGGACCATGCTGGGTTTAATAATCTCCAACTACATGCCTATAAAAGCTTAATTTTGCTATGAGGATGCATGCCTTGCAGCCTTTAATTTAATAACCGGGAAGGGTTTCTTTATAAGTTGTACCACCTGCAGTAGTAATAGAAATCAAGCCACTGCCTGTTATTTCCTGGGCTTGATTGACATTTCAGCCAACATGGAAAGATTCAAGCCACCTACTGCCTTTAATTTTTTTTTAATTATTTTTACCTGTAATTTGTCAGAGCTTGCCATTAAAAGCAAGAACTGATGAGTGTACCTCTCTGAAGTGAGGAGCTTTTGCTTAGAGCAACAGATGAAGAAATATTCTTCCTGCCACTGCACTGTAATGGTGGGTTAGTTAGTAGGAAAGAGTTGGTAGGAGAGGAGGTAAAATGACAAGAGAAATTATGGCCTGAAAGCAGGGTCCTTAAAAGTTATCATCATTATATAGCAATCCCCTAATCCCACCCCCATCAGCCAACAGAAATGCCAGGAGATCTGCAGCACACGTCAGCTGGCTAACCTGCCTGAAAGGTGTTATTGTTGCTGGTTCTGCTGCTTGGCTCAGAAATGTCTCTGCAGCTGAAGAGCTACAGGAAAAGAAGACAGAGCCCCATTAGTTAGGAGAATGCCAGAGGTGAAACTGCGGTGCCTCCCTGGTGTTAGTACATCATTAAGGGTCCCAGAGGAGTGTAGGAGGTGGAAAAGCTTGAAGGTTAGACGGGCTGAGTTATTCCTTAACTCATGCCTTTTCATTGAAGAGCAGAGGAGGTACACGTGTTGCGTGTGGTTACACAGTGTGACAGGAATGCTGAGAAGGGCTGGAAGCCTCCAACTCCTGGCGATGGGGTTTTTAGATTGCAGGGATGGAGGTCTCATTGTTGGAGAGGCCCTGGCAGTGTCCATTTAGGCGGGGCATGGGACCAGGCCTGATGGTGCCCAGCTCCATGGTGAGGGGGCTTAGGAACTGTTACAAAACATGGTGGAGACATGGGGAGAGGCAGACACTCCACAACAAGGTTCTGCTTTGGAAAGAGAGGCAGGACAAGTGGAATTCAGGGACTTTTATATGTGTTTTCTTAAGGTTTTGATAACTGAAGGGCTTGATTAGGTTTCATCTCTCCCTGGAGGGAGAAGGGACTTGAAATTGCTCAAGAAATATCCCTACATCAAACGTTTTAAACCATTGCACATCTGTAATCCTACAAAGCATGCCAAGACGCCAAAGGCCTTAATGAGATTCCTCATCAGCGTTGTCATCTCACCCCTGTGGAAAGGGGAACTAATGCCTTCAACAAAACATTCAAACCTGACTGCCTTCAGTGAGACTTCTCAATTTATCATTGGGGATATAAAATGACAATAGAGCATGTTTTTTCAGAGCTCTTTTGAACTGGTATGAACTGCATCATTATTGCTATGAGTCATCAGGTCATTGGCCTGTGTATTGATATCCTGTTGGCATGCGGCCAGAAGATATTACCTTTCGTGTTGAGCCTCCTGGATCTTCAACATCCAGTCCTGGAACGAGGCAGGGTTACTTGTCAACAGGTGACGGAGGGATTACAGATATACTGATTTGGCCTCATTTGCCTTGCTCCCTCAAATATTCTGTACTCCTCATGTATTTAACAGCCAGAGTAGTTAACAGCTGGAATAAATTCTCAGGAGAAGTCCTCACAGTAAAGCTGGATTACTTTCTGAAAGACACGTATGGATCTATCCCCAGTTATTTCGCGCAGTAAGGTGTAAGGTGAGAGGCTGAAATTCTGTGATCTGTGATACACACAAGGTCAAAGTCGGTAATTGTGTTGAGAGTTGGGATTCTGTGAATACCCTAGCATCACGCCTGAGAGTACCCTAAAAACAGTAATACCCTTTTTTCTTTAAATAGCTGTATTTTTTATTACATCAGGACTGTCGTGCCCTGGATCTCTCAATTGATGTTGCTTTAATAGATGCAGCTTCTGGAAGGGCTTTGTCTTCACGAGCATAGTGTAGCCAAATTTATTGCTTTGCATTTAACCTGTGTGATTGCAGTGTGGACAAATGCCTAGACTGGCAAATCCTAGCTAGTTGATAAAGCCAGTCTCAAGCCTGTGCAATCTCTCAGCCACAAAGTTTCTCTGATGACCCCCCTCCCCCCGCCTCATCAAAATTAAGCATTTAACTGATAGGGATCCCAAATCTTAGTTAAACTGAAACCTAGAAGAGAACTTAAAATCTGAAAGACGAGGTAAAACCTGCCATTGGAGCAGCCAGGTCTTGAGTGCAAATCACTTCTACTCTAACTTGGTTTTTCAGCTGACCCCACCTTCTCTTTCTGGAGGGCAGCAGTGTCCCTTTGCGTAGCACAGAAGGCAAGGCTATGGGGGTGTTACGGAGGGCAACCTAGTCCCTGTTGAGCACTTAACCCTGACACTGAAGATGGTTCCCCAGTTTTAACAGAACTAAAATCGAGCTGCTGTTGTCTCCGAAACCAATGCTGACACTCCATCTTGGATGTGAAAATAACTGCTGAGACAGCCCTGCATTTATGTGTGTCTTTTTGCACGTTCTGCGGAGAATCAGAATAAATAGAAACCCTTTAAATAGATTATTAATTAGCCTTCCTCTGACAGATAACTCGGTAGGAAATCCATTAGCGGGTGTCCGGGTAACTCACTGCTTCCAGAGCAGCTTTATTGTTTTCTGCTTTCTCATTTTCGTTGCAGATCTGAAGCCCTGGGTGTCGAATTTCACCTATCCAGGCGTGCGCGACTTTTCTCAGCTTGCGCTGGATGCCAACAGGAACCAGCTCATTGTGGGAGCAAGGGAAAGATAATCTTTTAATTAGTCCAGG